TAGACAATAGAATTTTCTACTAATGTATTCCCTACAGATTGTTACAATAGAATTTTCTACTAATGTATTCTAACAATCTGTAGACAATAGAATTTTTGTTAGTTTGTGAACTAATGTTGTTACAGAGTCCTGTTATTTTTAACACCCCTTCAGAAGAGATTGTGTTCGTTTTAACAAGGGACTGGAATTTGACACAGAAAGTTGCATTAGTGACTTTTAATCAATAGAATTTCATGGAATGAGTTGTATACTATAATGTCTTAATAAATAAGTTTAAAAGGCACTTTATCAGTGAAATGTCAAAATGTTATTGTCTGCAGATAGTAAGAAAACATTAAGGCAAACGTTATTTCTCATATTGTCAGAATACATTAAGGCAAACGTTATTTCTCAGATTGTCAGAATACATTAGTAAAAAACTTATCTAAAGATTGTCATAATTTATTAGTGCAAAGATCTTCTTGTCTACAGATTGTTAGAATACATTATAGCAAAATTCTGTTGTCTACAGATTGTCAGAATACATTAGTAGAAAATTCTATTGTCTACAGATTGTCAGAATACATTATAGCAAAATTCTGTTGCCTACAGATTGTCAGAAAACATTATAGCAAAATTCTGTTGTCTACAGATTGTTAGAATACATAGTAGGGATAATCCTAACTTATGTTATTGTTGAATAGGGTTATACCTTTGAAAGGTTGAATGTGTGTGTTTATGTTAAATTATGTAGAGCTAAGATATGGATAATCCATAAATGTTATGTTAACTTGTAAAATCACTTTTCATAATATGTTTGTTGAAGATCGTAAAAAAGTGAAATCGTCAAGACTTGACCAAAGATTATTAGGTTGGTCATAACAACAATTTGAGCGATACATTATCAATAACACTAATTGTGTGACCTAAATGGATCATCATCCCGTTACTTGATTAAAAAAAAACATTTGTGAGATTTTTAACGTGCAGGGATAATTATGTTGAACATTGGTTGATTAATCTCCAAAAAATGTGAGTGAGTTTTAAGAAGAGACATGATTTTGAAAGCTTTGTATTACTCTTCAAATCATTTGAATGATTAAACAAGATTGTGACGACTGAGCATAAATTTCAATATGTCTTCTGTTAGATTTCTTTATTGAGTAGACTCTATAAGAAAATTTGTGTTTACCAAATGTATTTTGATTGTAAATGTTTCTGGTATGCTTTATGATTCTCCGTTTAGTAAGTAAGTTGTTATTGTCACTAATATTGAGGAAAGTAAATGGCATATGCTACGGTTAATCTTTACATTAATTGTAATAATCAAAATTATAGGAGTGTCTGTTTTAGATTTTTATTTCAGATTTTGTCAGTTATGTTTTTGTCCTAACTGGCAGTTGTTTAGTTATGTTTTTGTCGTTGGCCTAACTGGCAGTTGTTTTAAGATTATGAAAAGATTGTGAACGTCTGTCTCTTCTCCTTTTAGATTCTGAACTTTGAAGAAAATGGTCCGAGGTTTGGATTAGAAAAGTGCTATTCTACTGAAGACAACAAGTTTTGTTTCACTTCTAAGGAAACTCTACAACTGTCACAAACTTATAACATTCTAATGAGCTTTTGCGATGAGAAAAGTTAGAGAGTTTGAACAAAACAGAACAGCTATTCTAGTGATATCACACACTTTGGGTGAGTGGTGAATAGCTGGTAACTGTTGTACTTCTCACTAGTTTGGTGTCTTTTAACCCAACAGTGTTTGAATAGAGAAAGTTTAAAGGAACATCTGGAGATCGAAGAAACACGGGACAATTATTGAAGCGCAACTAACGGAACCTTCTCTTTCACTATGACTGTTGTACCAGCAGCTTCTTAAAAGAAACCAGTAATCAGGAACATTTATGTAACAAGGACATGATGTATTTCCCTAAAAATACTGATACTTGAGAAAGCTGGAGACAACCAAAGAAACTGTGTGTGGTTTATAAAAGTGTTGAAAAGTTGTACCCCTCTGAAGTTACTTGCAAGCTGATGGCCTTGATTTTGAAAACTTTTGTTAAGTTTGAGGACATTTAAATAAACAAGTTACAATATTAAGGAATATGTTAAGACTGACATGTGTTTGATTTGTTAACCGTGTTTATCTCGAGTCTTAACTCCAGTTGGTGGGAAAAGCTCCTGTTTTATATATATATATAATTGTTAGATTAAGTTTTAACTATGTATTTCTAATAATTTTCATTCTTAATTGTGTAAAATTGTGGATATTTGTAACAAAGATTTTCATAATTTATCAGAATAACCAGAGTTTTGTAAACACAACTGATTATTTCTTGATGGTTTGTCTACTAATATATTCAAACCTGACCTATGACACTAATGTATCCAAATAATCAAGTCCAAATTTCGACATTATACAACTATGTGAATAATAAGCACCCCACTGGCTTAGTGGTAAGTCTGTAGGCTTACAAAGCTAAAAATCAGGTTTCGTTACCCATAGTGGGCAGAGCACAGATAGTCCGCTGTGTAGCTTTGTGTTTAACTATGACCTAACTAAATAATTAAACATGACCTCTTTTAGTGTTAGCATTACTTCAGTCTCCTTATAGCACTCATAATAAACATGTTAAAGGACTAAATTATAAAGCAAACAATCCTCTAATTGAAAAAAACAGACCTTCCTGAAAATAATAAATGTGCATTTACTTGTTAATGAAATTAAACAGATTGTTCTTAGGCCTTTTTTCTTTATAAAACATATTAAAATAACCCCTACTGTTAAAAAATTGCCATTTATTCTGTTGTTTCTGTGATTTGCGGGTTCTTTTCGATTATTCGGTAAAAATAAATACGACGTCCAGGCAACTATTTCTCCAGCAACGTTCTGTAGGCTATTTTCACTAATAGGCTTAACTCATAAATAAAGCTGAAGTTTTCCTAAATATGAGTATCGAACTTTGCTTCACTGGTTTCAGCTTTTACGTATGTATTATCCACGTTATCATTCATTTTTGTCGTATTCTTGAATTACATTGTGTAAACTGTTTACATTATTGTACACAACCGATTCTTGCATCGTAACTGGTGCTGCAGTATCTGAGTTCATTGGTTTATGAACCATTAGTAGATATTCAAAAACAGCTGAACTCTCTCTAATGTGGGGTTGTTTTATACATATGTTATTCTGTTTTATTGATTTCTCACAAAATTCTAGTTGTAGTAAAGTATTTTGTCCTTTTAGAATTAAACATCTTATGAAGAATGTAGTGTTACTCTAAGCCTAACACATTTTGAACAGTATTTGTAAATGTAAACATTTTGTGAACGGTATTATGACACTAATCTTAACGGTTTCTCAACAATATTGTGTCGCTCTGACGTTAGAAAGTTTATGAATAATATTGTTTCACTTTAATGATCAATACTTTGAACAGCATTTTGTCACTTTAAACACTATGTGATGATTTTATAGCAAAGCATTCTGTGAACAGTATTGTGTTATTTTAAGGTTAATTTATGAATGACGATTAGTTTTGAACAATATTATCAACAGTACTACATCACATTTAACCACCAGTTTTTAATCTATTAGATTTGTATACATTTTCTATGCATTACTCAGCCATCACTTTTACAGGTTGTTTTTTTTATAAGTGTGACTGATATCTTAGCTCTACATAATCTAACATAAACACACACATTCAACCTTTCAAAGGTATAACCCTATTC